AAGAAGAAAATTATGGATAAGGAGGTTTTAGAGCACAAATAGGAAATTAAGCATTCGATGCGATAGGAAGTCGGAGTGGTTATTTCCAGCTGTTACTGAAGAGTTTACAAATCTGTAAGCAAGAGCCACTTTGAATGATGTTGATCAGCCATAGATGTTTGGTCTGCTGTTGCGGCGCCGAATGACCTTTCAGGTGTAAAGGGACATTCTATTTCGTCTTGGTTAACTGCTGGGGAACAATAAGTCTTCTTCTTCAACGAAGTAAAAGTATTGAATGAAATGAATGGTCTAAGATATGAGGAGAAAGAACAAGTTTTTGGTTTGAGGACTACAACCACTGAATTTGACTTTTTAAGAAAGTCGCCATTTCTTTAAAGCACTTTGGTCGCATGAAATTTTAAAAATGTCATGTAGGAGCGTCGCGAACGCCTGCACTTATGTTTTGGGGTAGTCCGTGAACAAATTTCGTTGCAGACCACTTTTTTGACTTTTTTGATTCCAAAAATTTTATTTCTTGCAAATTACACTTTGTTTTGGTCTGTTTTCTATCAGTTTCTATCAGACCATGATTTCTTCTTTGGCGGAGGTTGGATGCGAACTGAAGCTGTAGAATTTTAGTCACAGGTGAAGAAGTGTGAAGTAGTAACTGGTGAATGGGTTGAATGAATTCAAGTCTTTAGTGATAGTGTGGAGAATTGGATATGTTGTAAAACGTCTTTTACAGGATTTGCTTACATTTATGGTATTTTTAAAAAAGTCAGCATTTGAGAAGATGCAAGCCAAATCTGTACATCGAGTGATTGTGAAACAGCTTAGTTGAGGTCTGCAGATCTCGGTATTTTGATAGTTTTTACATTCGTTCTTTCTCTTGGTCTTTCTTCGCCGCAAAAGGCAAACGATTTTCGGTGTCAGTTTTAAAGTAATGAGTAAGAAAAGGCCTCAAAAATTGACTTACGTGAGGGAAAAGTGTTTATTGTGATGGACGTTCGTGGACAGATTATTTATGGTAGTAATAAGTGCCAAATTGGAGCGAGATTTTCTCTTTAACTTTGTTTTTTAGTACTTTAATTTGCCAATGGTAGGCGTTCAGTTAACACGAATTTTTTTCACTAATTGTTCTCTCAGAAATCCTAGTTCTTTTTTTCGCCATTTATCTCTTGACTTGCAATGCTGTTGTCCTATGTACCAACGGTCATGGCACTACCTTGTTCCTTTGTAATCTCTCCTCCATGAAGTACATCTTTTCAACGTAGTCAAGCCAGCACAATGTCTGTTTGTATCTTTATTTACGTATATATGTGTTTTTGTGTAATTAGGCCTTCAAGATGGGAAATTCTGTTGTTTTTGTCAAAAAAAAAGAACGTGATAAACTGATTTTTCTTGGAAACAGCGAAGCTAAAGGGTTGAACGTGTGACAGCAAGAGCAAATTTGAAGCTGGCAGCAAAAATTAGTGGAGCGCATTCTGGTAGTTGCAGGAGCTCGTCTTTTGCTAGAAACAAAACATCTTGCGAAAGTTCTGCATAACTGAGCTACTGAAAGTTGCACGGTAGTTATGGCACCTTACTGTCTTCACGTTTCTCCTCGTCTTTTGTCCCCTCTTTCAGAATGCTTCCCGATTTCCCAATTTTTTCTTTACACTTTTTGTCTCTCTGTCTGTAGTGAATATATACTTCCTCTTGGCCGCCTTGCCTTTTTTGTCATTTGATGAACTCCTGCTATTGGATCTGTTTTTAAACAATAACTTTTTTCTCAGAGAATTCAGTGAATCTTATCTTAAGGTAGTATTGGTAAATAAATGCGCAACCTTTGGAAATTTTCTCATTTAGAGGTTTAGTAATGTATACAGAATGGTGTAAAAAAGGGTGGAGAATTTGTGAGATCAGAAGATAAATTTTATAAAAGTGTCAGTTTGGGATGATTCCGTGATGGTCTAGCGCTGCGAGTAAGAAGTTGAAAAAGGATATAGTTATTTCGTGTGCATAGTTTTTTTTCTTCACAAACTTCAAATGTAGCAGTGACAGTGGTATTCTTGGTCTTGTAGAGCACAGTTCTGTGTTTTCGTCAAGTTTTAGGTTGTTCTGTAAGTTGCCGTTTTACTTTGTCATCTGGGCGATTTCGCTAAATTTATTTGAGATGCCGACTATCAGTATCATTTTTGAAACTTGTTAGTAGATAGGTACATGCTTAATTGGTAAATATTAATAGGCTTGCTAAAAGATTTTGGTTTTTCAATAGTAACTGAATACTGAGTGACCCTCCTTTGGGTAACTGTTTCCCCTTTTTTATCTTTCCTCCTGGAGCACATTTTCCTCGTATTAAGGTATTAACGGTTTTTCGAGTATTTTAGAGCACTGAGTATTACGTAGCTATTGAAGGCTAAATTAAGTTGCCGGATTCAGTTGAGGACGTAAGGTTGAGTCAGTTTTGAACAATTTGGTTTCAACTAGTAGTGTTTCTCAAAGGGAAAAGTTGAAAGACGCTGTCGACGAAAAATTAGGCGACCGTTTCACAAAAATCTTTTATTGGTACATTTTGCATGCTTTTGTAGAAATTTGACTGGAATGCATCTTTTTTTTTTTTCGTGTGGTTTATATGTTTTGTTTTGTTTTAGGTTCATGACTAAATTATTGCGTCAAAAATTTGCATTTATGTGGATTATTTTGCAATTCTCAATCAGGGTTTTTTTTATTGCAATTTCTTCTTTTGTTGTTTTTCGCTGACGAGGAATTTTTGATTAGATATTGATTATTAAAATGCCAGTTGTTGCAGCAGATTCGTAGTTAATAATTTCGTCAAAGGTCAGGAAGTTAGTTTACTTTTGAAGTCTATTTTTTGATTGCGGATTCCTGTCGTGCGGACAGCTTCCTGTCGTTTTTTGACTACTAGTCAAAAAACGAGACTTTCGTTTGGTGCACTGTACCTTCGAGAGCAGTTTGGTACTTATTTCTGGCGCGTTAATACACAAAACGTCTTGGTCATTTTTTTGGTAAATTGTTTTTCTAAAATTTAGAGCTAAAATCTGGATACGATCTGTGGATGGCAAACTTTTTGGGCTGTTAATTGAGTTATGCGTATGTACTGAGACTGTCAAAGTGACTGTTTCTTGTGGGCAAGACTTAAAATTGCTATTTTTGAACAAAGAAGGTAAATTATATTTTAGTGAACTGTAAGCTTACAACTCGTTTCGTGTGCTTTTTTTTTAGTTTTTTTACTGAGTCGTTATTAATAGTTGGAATGAAATTTTGTTTAGGCTGGATTTATTTTTCTGATTATTAAACGATGATGGTGACTTTATAGGAGAGTTGGCAGAAGCCCCGGATAGATACTGTGATATGCAAATATTAAGGCCATCGAAAAGACGGTTACTGCAATTACACAACTCTTGTCTTGTCGCAAAACGTTTAAGGTGTAATCAGGGGGGAATTCTTTGTACTGTTTGATCAGTGTTGCTAAAATGCCGCAGTTTTGTAGGCCTGGTATTGAATACAGAAAATTGGAAGATTTTCAAGAAATAAAAAACAACCTGTCATACGGCTAAAGCGTTTGGTTGTTTCGCTGAGTGCGGAATGATAGTTTTCGGAGGAAGTTGGTTGCATCTCTGTTGAACTGCTTTTGACTTGCTCTTCAACACGTCTGACGAAACAATCGTCGGTCAACCGGCACTGAAAAATTAATTGTTATTGTAACTTACAGTAAAATTCATTTATAAATCTTGACTTTTGCCTTGGATTTATTTCCTCTATTGTCTTTTTTTTAGTGTTTTTAGAGTTTTCTGCTGTCACTGCTGTTATATGAATGTGGATGTAAAGGAATATTTGGTACTTATTCTAGTTCTTCTGTTCGAGATGAATTATTATTTTTGATAAAGTAAGGCTGGAATTTTCTTTCCAGGAGTTACTTGGGTATTGCTAACAGCTTGTTACTTAATTTGGACACATAGGGCAATTGAAATTTACATGTAACAGCGCTTGCTTGAAGCTGTTCGCTGCATTCTAAGAAATTAGAATCTTTTGCATGGCTGGCAGTTTGCATAATGCTGATCTAGAAGGGAGTTACGAGTCCGTATTGCGGTTATTTTTTCGTTCTTGAACTGCATTGCCAGTCTGAAGTATTAGTCTGTTGGCTAAATAAAAATTTGGCTTTCAGAAAGGTTTTGCTCATTATTATATAGTTTGGAGATGTTTGATGACAAATAAAATATGAAAAATTGGGAC